TCACCCTTATATGTATATCTGCGCACATCACTAGCAATATTTTTTTTGTAAGCTCAAATTTATATTGAAGAGGCACATAGGTTTCTATAAAAAAAAATTAATAATTACGTCATATTTTTAAAAAATAACCTCAATGCTTGTTTCCTTATTATAGAAAAAGTAATGCTTTGTCACTTTTATCAATTTCTTTTTTTTTTCCTTATCTGACAATAGCTGGACACGTTACTTGTAGGCTTTAGGCATGACGTAGTTTTTCATCCGCCCCTTTACTTTGCTCTTCAGAATCTTCTCGTCTTCTCCCCACCAAGATGGAAAAGTCAATGGATCTCTCTCTCTCTCTCTCTCTCTCTCTCTCTCTCTCTCTCTCTCTCTCTCTCTCTCTTTCTGTCAAGCATTCTGACATGCTTTCACACCCGATAAATAAGCATCGCCGAGAAGCGTCGAAACTGACGGTGCTTTAGTAAAGTAAAAGAAAAAAAAATCTATATTATTGGAATTTCTTTTTTCGTGTGGGACCTTTTTTTTCGAATCGTCGATTTTCTTTTTTTCGTTTTTCTTTAGAGTTGCATTTCTACTGGGTGCCATATGGTTTGTTCGTTAATTCGTACCGTAGAATTATTCACGTGTTGGTTCTTCGGTTTACGTAAGGCTTCCCATTGCTCGTAAACTTTCCTATTGTTTTCATAGATATTATACTATGACTGTTTTGATATCGCCATTGTTCTCCAGTCCCTTTCATTACGCTCACGAATGTACAGGATCACGAATGCCACCCTGTAGAAATCCCAGGCTGCTATTTAGATTTTCATGAAGTTTCGCACAGAATCTCACGGAACTCTAAAAGATGCTATATATATATATATTTTTTTTTTTCTATCTATATATATAGTATAACATTAATAATAATAATCCATCAAAGTTCGCCCTTAGCATCTGTACATATGTTTGTCAACAATAATACACTTGTAAATTCTCAAGATGTCGTCTACGGATAAAATTCCATAAACTGAAAATTTCAGTTTACCTGGAACCTCTCAAATCTTCTGCTAATATCTTTATTCGTCTGGTCCTTTCATTTCGTGTAAATCCTCGCTTTGTCGTCGCTATGTGAACTCGCCTTCGTGAAAACGTTTGATAATTGTGAAACATTTGAAAACATTATATTTGTGACTGTACTTGACGTCACCAAAAAAAAAAGATGTTTCATGCAAAATACTTGGAAGTATTTTTTAACAGATTGTATATGTATATATATATATATATATATATATATATATATATATATATATATATATATATATCACTTATTGGGCCACGTGATTAATTATTGTGGATTTTAAATTTTTAAAAAATTTTTTATATTCACGAATTCGTCCTGTAAGTGTATACGATCTTCGGATATTTAAGTTAATGTCAAAGAAAATTATATATGAGCTTATTGCGAATTTAGAAATGGCTGGCTTATCTGCTTATAAGTACTTTGAAAGCATTTTGCGAATCTATTTAATCTTTCATTTCATGGAATTTTCATTTTAAATCACTATACATATATGGGTATATGGGTGTGTATATGTGTGTGTGCGTGCATTACAGTTTTTCTTTCTCCTCTGACTTTCTTTTTTTTTTTTATTTTTCTTTCCTCTAACCTCCCTATAGCATCACTTTCATCCTTATATCAAAAGCTCGGCCATTAACACGTTCAAGTGATTAACGAGCCAGAGTTGTCTGCCCATTGTACAGGTCGTCTCCTGGCAGCCGGCATACTCGACTTCCGGTAGCTTGATGAGAAAAAAAATGACGTCAAACCAAAGCCCACGAGTGACTTAATAGCCGCTTCCTTATCTTCAAGAGAGTCTTCTTTACTATTACAGTCATTATTCAGTAGTTACTGTCACCTTTGAAAGGACCAGTAGCACCGTACAAAAAAAAGTCAAGCTAATAAAATAGAAGTAAAATAAAAATAATGATGATGAAAAGGTCTAGACTAGAACTCACTCGTTTTTTATTATATACATTTTTTTAAACTCCATTACTGTTTCTACTTTTTTCAAATTCCTGTAGTCTAAAGTGAACTTACCTGCTGTACGTACTCTTATAAATATATATACATATATATAATTGTGTGTGTTAATGGGAGTTAGAACGAAAGACACGTAACAGGTATTCCCAGGAATGCCCAGTGTGCAAGACACTTATGCAAGTAGATAGCACGGACACGAACCACCCGGAATATTGGAGCGCAGGTTCGCGCCTGGTCATGCTGAAAGGAATGAAAGAATGTTTCACCCTGGAACGGGATACCATGAATAGATGAGAAGCTTGATAACATTGAGGGGGTTTGGTTACGCTCGAGCGAGCGTGTTGGTGCAGCTGCAGCTGCATCCTAGCTTTGCTGTTTTAGGCCCATTTGTCGGGCACCCTTCATAAAGCACAGGGATCAAAGCATCCGCCCGTACCTGTTTGACTTTTTGCATAGAAAGAAAAATTTGTAAAATTTTCATCCCCGATAGATGCAAGGAATATGCAAATACGCAATATTATACATAGACACAAATATTCAAAAAATTCTCATTTAAACAAAGTTAATTTCCGAATGAAACGATAAGAAACAATGTTTATATACGAAGAATTCATTTTTCTATGGTATCCACTGCAATCGTCTATCCCCACCACTTTTCATACTAGATGCGCAATGCAACTGCGCAAGTTAGTGGACGTTCTGGCGAGCCGTATACTCCACGGACAAGAATTCCAATTAGCGCGCAATTTAAATGCACTTTTGTGCATGCATATAAGATAAAAGACCAGATGAAATGTTCTCTGGGGCAGTCGCTACATTTTCACGTTTATACTATGGCACCCGTGATTGCAGCCAGTATAAACAACGAATCGGACCTACGTTCGCGTGTTCGGCGGTTTGAACTTCAATGTTTGTAGCAAATAATGACATGTTACCATTATCGCATCGAGAATGCGCCATGTGGGCTGCGTTGGTACCAGTGTAGCCACCCGTACAGCGGGATGAAGAGCGGGTAAAATGGGGTTGATATGGACCATTAAGGACTAGTTCACACATAACTATTGGTATAAAAACAGAGAATATGAAGCACGCGGCTCGTAAGCCAACTGCCAGCATATGTTTGCATATGGAAAATTCGTGTTCCATGTATGCACTGAGGTAAAACTTGCTTCACACGGTGACTGCAGTCGCCATATTGAAATATCTCGATTGTCCGCCTGAACGGGTACAATGGACCAATCACGTTACTGGTCAATTATGTAGATAGCTCGTTAAACAGTAACGAGACATATGTCCAACGGTGGTTCGTTGGTAAAATAAAGAGAATGAACGTAGACGTAGAGGAATACTGTTAGGCGGGAAAATTTGAAATATTCAAACGATCAAAAACTTTATTTTGTTTGTTGTTCGATTGTGCAATTATAGAAAATTAACTTTTTTTTTGTTTTATTATATCAATATTTTTTTTTTTCAGGCAACCATCTCCCAGCTCTGGGACTACAGGTACGTCCACTGTCTCGTCAACTGGTCCAGATGTCGAGACGACTTCGCAGAGCATTGGCATGTACCCCGTCGGCGTCGGGAGCGCCGCGACGTCGACGGAAACGCCGACGACGCCACCGATCACCACGACACCACCCGTGCCTTTGACTACTACCGGCGGTCTTACCGGCATCGGGACGATCGTCAATCCAAATCTTGTCAGGAGCGTCTCGGCGCCTATGGCGCCTAGACCTGTCATGCAACCCACCATGAGCTCTGTTAGTGCGTCGGCTACGCGAAGACCTAGACTTAGGCGGAATATGAGTCGAACCGAAGCAGTTCGAAAGTGAGTTAAATATTTTTTTTATAAATATTTCTATATTGTTATTTATTAGGTCAATGTCAATGCTGACTTGATGAATAATAATTTATATAATTATTTAAAATTATTGAATAACCACGTAATACCATAGTACTCCGTTAGGGATAATTACATATATACCATAGTATTCCAATAGCTATCAGGATCAATTTAATAAATTACAATTGACAGCTTACGGTGGAATAATTATAATTAATTATATACTGACAGTGTAAAATTCAATTACCTACTTGATCGTATTTTTATCTCTGTATTACATGATCACGTGGATCACACATCATGGTATAGTAATCACAGTATAATTCTTCCGTGACATGTATTACGATTATAATAATTTTATCCGAAAAAAAATGGGAAAAAATTCCCATTAAGGACTTTACCCCAAAGCACTAACGGTTTAGGGGTGAAATATTAAAGATGATAATTCTTGATGACGCAATGATATTTTCACCCTTATTTCTTGGCGTCGGGTAACACAATGCTGACACACGTGAATACTGTAATGAGACATAAACGCAGTAAAGTACGTGTCCCGGGAGTATACGCACGATACATTCGTGTGGGGTATAGAAAGAGGGGTAGTTTTTATTTTCGGCAAAAAAAGCAAGGGGCGCGAAAGTCATCAAGCCCGGGGCTCGTGGGGCCGTTATAAAAATTCATGAAATTCACACGTAGATCGTAATCGCGATTAAAATGGAAAACATAGATGAACCCGTTCCCGTGCTATAGTTTTCCTCGTAAATTCTCATCCAGAAATCTGCTTACGCACGACCCACCCCCAATCCGTAACAATTGCACAACCCTCCAAGGAATAATTATATCGCATGAGAATACACGCGTACAGCTATAGGGCTATTAATTTCGGGAAAAAAAAATGAAATTTTTTTTCACAAACTGTACTAATTTTCTCGACGTACTTAAGGGTTGATTAATGGCTATATTAAGTACAGGATGTGTAATGCGTACTACGGTTATTAGTCATTGCTCGTGTGGGGGTTAACAAGAATGTAACAAGCTGAGCTTAGCTAGCTCCGGATTGGCTGGATGGTTAGGGGCTGGTTTCTTCGTCGATAGCAGCAAAACATAATTGGGCCATTTTCGGGGGAATCCCCTAGGAAAGGGGAAGTGTCCCCGAGTCTTGATGAACTCATCCACAGAAAGAGGTCACCGAGTGGTCAGGACCTGCTATGGGGCTAATTTTGTCCTGAAAATCCACAAGGGTTGTTCCTGCGCCGAGAAGTCATTGAGAATTCACGCCGAAATGTCCCTAGAAAATCACTAGAGTTTTAGTAAATGAATTTTATAGTTCTTTAACCCACGCGTACTGCTTTTAGTAATTTTTTATTTAATTTTTTCACTTTTAGTTACATCAAGAGAGAGACTGCTACCTTCTTCGGAGTCGACGAGGAATCGGAAGCTTTGGAGAGACAGAGATGGCTTGGACGTCGACGTCGTATGGCGTCCAGGAAGTACGGTGCGCTACTTCCGGAACATAGACCACCTGACCCCGACATCACCAGGGACGTACCGGACTCCACTGAGATCCCGGAGGTAACCGGAACACAATGCATTTTCATCATCTGCTCCTTCCGTCCACCTAGACTGTTCAACTTGCAGTTGCATTGTTACTGTTTATTATGTCCAAGAAGTTAAAAATTTTGGAAACAATTACTATCGTCAACAGAGCCGTTACCAACTGTAATAAACAGCGGAAAGATCTAAGCCGAGGAATTAGGAACGTATGAAATAAATATTACCAGCTGTAATTATCCGTGGTAACTGCCTAATCGATTATCAATCAATCGATAAAATATTCTCACATTAATTCATTATACATTCTCTTATTCATACGAGCCGTTCAACATAGCCACCAAGATTCCTTGCATAAAGCACAGAAAGACAGAGAAACAGAGATTTTATTAATTCTTCAACGTTCATCAATCTCGACCTAATCACAGAATATTTTCATTGTACTCCAGTAAAAAATTGTGAAACAGATAAAAAACTTAAGGACTTATTATTATTTTTATATAATTACTTTCTACGATCCTTCATAATTATCAAAAATTATTAATTGTTTCATTGGACGAGGATTTAAAAATTGTATAAATATTTGAAAAAACAAATCACTCCATTGATTTCATTGCTTGAACCTCTAACGTTTCGCAAATCAGAATTACATTCCACTCTGTATATTCGCTCGCAAAAGTTAACCCGTACCGATTGTTTCGGTCCAATCAAATTCGTTAACCACCCAGCTATACGGGTTACCAACTCCGTCGATTGTACCGCACGAAACTGCAAACGAAGCTGCTCTCGCACTCGAGTTACGTTGAAAAATTGCTAGACAGCATTGAAACGCAGTGACTATTTTTTTACAATTTTTTTTAAACCTTTCATTTAAATTTTGATTCCACTTTCGAGTGCTCTAACAAACTTCTAACGGGTGGTTACACAAATTCAAATTGATTTCAAACGATCGATCACCCTTTTGCTCATGCTACCAGTGACAGTTAATAAAACATACATATTAATGTTTAAGGGCGTTGTACTAAGAAGATGGCAGCAACCAGTACGCAGGAAAGATTCCGTCGCCAGGATGACCTTATCAGGACTTCACTACATGGTTGAGGTAAGTCAATCCACATTAATATATCAATTAATTTTTAATTATACAAAAGTCAACTTTGACCTTCGCTCCGCTTGGCTGCTTCCTCGATACAATATCAATAATTCAGTACAACTGTACCAATCCCGGATGGCCTGATGAGGTCGAACGAACTGACGTCACTGATACCCAAAAAAGAAAGTAGAGTGGCTGAGTTGATTGGTTAAACAATAATAAGAGTTAGGTCAGGTTAGGCTAGAACCAGATATTACCGGTTAACCTTATCCGTCCTATCCATCGCAGTGAAACTTCCCTCGGTCGTCTTCCCATGTTATGAACCGACCTTTACGTCCCTCGAGCTAAGTTACTGGACTGCTTAGATCCCGTCTATCCATTAGACTAACAAGGTTCCGCGTAACTTCCGGTCTGACAGAGACTTCCTGACTGAACGATACCAGGCTTCAACCGTCTCAGCTTGCTCGACCCTGTTTCCACTTTGGTTCCTATGGTTCTGAAAGGGTTGCCAACTGCTCGCGTTGATCCTTCCGTATCAGCAAATAGACTTTAATAATTTCTTTGATTAATTTCTTACACACTGGACTTTGACAATTTATGAACCCAATAACCTCAAGGCGCACTTGCAACCAAACAAAGCACAGTGGACTCACAACTTCATGAAGAATTTTGATACTCCCTTCTGTCCAGGGCTAGTCTCTGATGCACTTTCCTTGCATTAAATATGCCGTCCCCATTGTCGTCCTGGGATTTAGTGCAAACCTTGAATACAAAGATCCATTATGAAATTTACATAAGGCGGTAGTATGCATTTAAATAAGTTAGAAGCGAAGCGGCTCGACCTTAGCTGCGCGAAATCCGGAATTAATGGCTCGTGCTCATGGAAATTCTATTAAGCCACCTTTTGCTTGTTTTTGCATGAGACTTGAGAGAAAAAAGTTTATTTTTTTTTTGCTTACATTTTTTTTATTTCTTTTTTTTACTTTTCTGTTTACTCTAACCAATTATCAGCATACTTAATATCTGGTGTCGAATTTTTTTTCCAACGAAGCCAACAATTCTATTTGCTAATTGGGTCTGTAGTTTCATGGATACTTCTATAGGGTCTTGTATACCTATTGATATTGTCTCGTCTCGACGTTCATTAGTCCGTTCCGAATCTCGACCCGTTGTGGGTGCAACGTCAGGCTTGTAATTTCATTGAAAATCTACCAGCGTATATTGCTCGTGTTACGGGCCCGGTGTGATAGCCGCATTAATCCAGACAGTCTCGTCTGGCCGGAGAATTTTGAATCGCAACCAACCGAAATGCCGACGTCGACCTCCGAAATTACTACTGCTACTATATCTGTGTTTATGTAAATAGCCGAAGCGGCACACGTAAAATCCGACCCCTTTATCCCCTGTGTATACTACGATACATGCATATGTGCAGTTTTTTTTTACTCGTGCAAAACATGCATACGCTCAGAACAAATCGTACAGAAAACACCTAATTATATTCAGCATACCGTAACGCCGGTCAGTTCGGATTTTAACAGTGTTTCTCACGATAACGATAAAGTAGGTAAATTCGGCAACAAATTTTTTTTTTTCAAAATCAGTAAACATTTGAAACGTAAAAATGTGAAACTTTTTTTTTAAAATCCCTCGTCTAAAATTATCGAGAAAATTATATCGCTCTTGTGCGTACGAGACTCAAAGCACGTCGGATTTCCCTCAAAGTTCCGAAAATTAAAATTATTCGACCAGCCGAGGCATAAGCGTTGTCGACGACCCTGTAGACGCCGTGCAAATTTAATCGTGAAAATCCAACTCGCCCTTAAACCCGAATTTGATTTCGAGTCACGATCCGTATTTGAGTCAGTCAAAAAAAAAAAAATTCAATTCGCGTCGCCAAGGTACCAGTAGCTCTGCTATGGAAACGAGCCCTTGTGATATCTCCTTAAGTAGCCTTCGCAAAGGGCAGGCAGAAACGTGCCGATCATCACGTATAATAAGTACGTCACGGCACGCTTTAATTCGAAAGGGCGAATTTTCATGACGGCGACCTCTACGTTGAGAATCACTGCAGGGGCCAGAGTGCCTCTGCTACAGTAGCTTCACGAATATCAGATAACAATAATTACGCTGAAATAATTATACTCCGGCATAATTATGCAATCTGTATAACGACCCCCAACCTCTACCTCCCCCCCACCTACCCTCACCCTATAAAGCATCCTACGATTGGTCTGTTGCTACAAACTGCATAGCTACAACTTCAACCCTTTAGCATCACCTAAGTAGTCCCGGCGCAACCCTTTCAGGAAACGTGTTTGCTGTACGAACGAAGCCACCCCCTTTCTCTACCTCCCGGTCCCCAATCGTACTTGCAATAGCCCATAAATTACCAGTCTGGCCATGCGGTCTTTTCAGTGCATCCGCTCTGTCGATTTTACGCCATCCTTCAAGCCATGCTTTTGTAGGTTAGGTTGGGTTAGCTGGCCTGTTGTATTTGTACGTCCATTTCAACCATTGAATTTTATCACTTGGATTCTTCTCCGTTCGAGCTTATCTCGTAGCTACCGAGTCTCTCGGGTTTTCTTTATCAGTTGATACTAGATGTGATAAGTATAGAGATACACCTATAAGTCGAGGATGGACTCGAGGGATTTAACCCCAGTGCATCATGGTAAGGATCCGTAGTGGCTGTTGGTTCTATTTATCACTTTTCTTCATCTCCGTTCGATTTTCTATTTCTCTTTTTTTTTTGTTCTTTAACCTCGACGAGCGTCGGCCATCTTTGATTTTTTGGGAAGTTCGTTATATTCACGTCGGTTACGCGGGAAAGTGTGGACGGCCATATTGCAAATTTAAAACGACAGTTATTCAGGAGAAAATTCCGAGCGATAATTTTTTTCGTATGCTTTGTGTATTCCCCTTAATATAAGTCATATCCTCTTGGGTAGTCGTTAGTGAGAAATGGATAAATTTTTAGATCGTTAACGAAGCCGCGTGAGCGAAAGAATTCTCTTTTTGTCGAGTAGTTTGCAGGGTCTGCCGTCAGATGGCGCTAGTGCAGTAGTCGAGCAACGGTGCATGACGGGAGAGACGCGAAACGCACTGCCGACTAAGAAAGGCAATTATTCACAGGATTATCGTTTCCCAGGGAAAACATAAAGGCTAATTCACGAATTAAATTCAGTGCCGCGTCAAGGCTACAAATTTCGACGGCAGCGTAGGAAATTGATTCTCCCGGAATTTCCTGGTTCTCGTGCAACCTCTATCCCCTCCTCAGTCATACTTCATCACAACCGTCATACCGTACATACATATCTGCTACATCGTTCTCGTGAACTGCAACCCTTTCCCAAGAGCAACCCCCCTCCCTCATCCACTAGAAACCCAGCTACATGGTCCGGGCGTTCCTAGTTATTATCTAGACTCGGCAAATTACATTTCCGGTTCACACGATTTCGATCACCCATTCCCCCAATGACAAGCGTCCTCATAGATACCACATAACCCATATACCACTGTTGGTAATAGTAATTTTCCCCCCAAAAAATTCCCTAAACAATTTTATCCCCAAAAAATATATTCTCTCGCTACCACGAATATCGACGAAGAGCGTTACAAACGTTAAAAAAAAAATTAACTGTTCTAAAAATAACATTTTTCGCATTTTTAAAAAATCCCTAGGAAACCCTAGGAACATTTACGTACGTTAAACTCGTAAAATGCAATGACTAGATTTCACGTACAAATCCATACGTACATCCGCGTATAGGAGATCGGATTATATTTGATTTCCTGTTATGGGGCTTCTAGCTGACGACGTTCCTGGTCCCGACGGCATTCACGGATTACAGAAGATGCCCGGAGCCAGGATCGTCGACGAAGCGAAATACGTTTTGGTATAGATAACGTCTACCTGCTACTGTCCAGCTCGTTGTAGGTCGCTGGGGCTTTTGCGACTAAAGTGCTAAGTTTTGAAATATGGGAGAGAAGCTTTCACCCATCTGTGAACTTTGCAAGCTTCTACGTATAGTCAGAGTTCTCTACGTGCTTTACAGACTGCAGGCATTTGCGTGAAGGTGTAACGTTTAGGTAAAGAAGATTTAGAAGGGTGGTAGGAGAGACGGCCAGGTCAAAGGGTGCAAAGCATCACCAAAGACTTGAATGTGATTTCAGAGAGTTTCTCGGTGTGGATGATGCTTTATGTGGCGAACCAATCCGCTTCTGCAGGTTTCCAGAGAAACGTGTGTGTATATATATAACGTATATATATATTCATATATATATATGATGTGAACGAAGCTTTATGTTCAAAGTAAACTTATCGACAAAGCAAATGGCAGCTTCTTACGTATTCAGCATTTTCCCTTGGTAGCTCCATATTCCTTTTTCCTTAAGGGTTGTTCACACGTCAACGCTTTCATTTAATCGTCTTTTTCATTCGATCCACGAGAACAGCCGTTATTTGTATATTCGTCAGAATTTGTCACGCAATAAGGGTTACCATAAAAATTGTTTTTCCACAAAAAAATTGCCCTTATAACATTTTTCAAATTTACTATTACTGTAGTAGGTATAGACTATGTTTGCGTGTATGTGTATATATAACTATAGATTAAGCGAAATCGTCGAGAGAGGGGGGTATAGGCTAATTTAAATTAGCTATTAGTTTTCAATGAACTACCTTCCAACCACCGTCGCTGGATAGCACGCGTAATTTAATTGGCCACGATGGATCCACCGATAATCGAAATCGCGAGCCTATCGTTGTCCGCTTAATTATCAAACTGGAAACTCCCGAGGTAGAAGCTTGCGGGAAGTCGAGAGCTTGGAAAATGTCCGTGTAATCGTTCGTGCGGACTTTAACAAAGCAATCGGCAACGTGTAATGGAATAGGAAAACTTTGACGGCATTGTCGTCGGCCGCCATTACAGTGCTGATCGCGGTTAGCCTTTCAGAAAATTTAGCCACCTACCGGATCGCCGGACAACTACTGCGCGAAGCGCGGG